TTGTTTTGATTTTAGCAGATATTTTTTTATCTTTTAATGCAACAAATTTCATAGAATAATGTTTATTGGTGTCATTTTTTTACTCTAAATTTTTACATTTAAATCTGTTTGGAGAATAATCACCAGTAAAATTACTCTTTTTAATTATGGGTACATTTGAAAGCATAGTCATAAACGTGATATTTTACAATTTACTTTTTTCAGTAAAATATCTATTTGTAGATTATATTTAGTCTTAATATTAATGCATATTTTCATTTTAAATTTTAGCATTTTCATAACTCTAATTATTAAATTACTCTGTTTATGACTTTTTATCTGAAAAATTGTATCTTTAGGACAAATCAATTTCAGGAAAATCCTGCTTTTTTTATGTAAAAGTAGTATCAGCTTATTTTATTTCATCTTAGTTTAATTCTTATAATTTTAGGATGTTGCTCATTTCAGATTAATTATTTACCTAAACTTCTTATTTGAACTTATAATTGTTCGTTGGGATACTTATAAATTAATTATCATCTTTCTCTTATCTCTCAAGATTTTCTTCAATTTATATTTATGACAAGTGTTTCTAATAGATTTTATTTCTATTATCTAAATCTTTGATTTGAAGAAAATTATTATTTTTTAAAATCTCGAAGTACTTCTCCTGAAATACATTTTTCAGTAGAATCATTAAGAAATCGTTTCTTAAAGAACTCTAAGAAAACTGCTTTCCTATAACACCGAAAAGCATTAGAGCTGCTATTGTGCTATTAACCTACGCAAGGACTTAAGGTAAAGTAGAATATTAAACTTGAATTTGCTGCACAATTTCATCCATTATCAACACTAATTTAAATGAATGGGCCTTCTCCAATATTAGTCAGTGCTTATTATCTGTCAAAAACTTAATTTTATAAATTATACTAAATTGGAGAAGTAAATTTTGATTAAGATTAAACAAAAAAACCTTCTTTAATTGAAGTGATTTACTTCTATGCGCTATACGTACTTAAAATATACTAAGAGGCTATAGAATAAACAAAAGAGTTTCTATAATTAATCTATGTTTTTTATGAAGTGACATTATATTAAGATGTGTAAAATTTCATTCGTTAACCTGCGTTTATACCATTTGCAATGGCATCGATCTCTGATTATGTTGCACAATTATCTGGGATTGTTGTTTTTAATTAATCTAAATCTAAACATCCATATGAGAAAACTTGTATTTGAGATTGAATATTATCAATTGTGCTGAGCGTTAAAGTGTAGTTAGATACTTTAGAGTAGTCTAAGCAGTAAAATCCGATTAGATTCTCATCAGTGCATTCAAATATATCTAATTGAATATTTTGATAAAAGTCGTTATCGAAGTAAAAAAATAGAGCAATGAAAACCATATATTTCTTATTTTTTTCTGCTTCTAATTGCTAAATACTCTTGTTCACATCGTACTCAAACCTGAACCCAACTAAGTTGTTTTTTAATTCAATATCTATTTTTTGTTGAGTTATGAAGCTCTGCTCCCTGTAATTAGGTTCAATTCCATTTGTGAAATACTAATAAAGGATGTAAATAAAATAAGTAGAAGCTAGTCCAACAATGAGTATTGATAGCAGCATTCCGAAAACAGTACCTTTTCTGATCTGTTAACCACCTACATTCATGTAGAATTTAGAAGAAAATAAGTCGTATTTAAGAAAACTCATTTCTATTTTTTGTAGTTTTTGCTTATTTTAAAAACTTCTACTTTTGGAAAGTTAATTTTAAAAACAATGACTTTTTTTATTGATTTTTTATATAATTTATAGTTTATGTTATTAAAATTGTGATTAGCTCATCAATTTATTCTCCAGAAGAAATTCTTCAATTTAGAAAGTGATTAAAAGTTATTTCATGAGAA